GGTGCCTGTCTGATCTCTGGCTGGGGACATGGAGGTGCATCAGTTTGACAGGCTTGGGACTGGCTTCCAGACAGGAGTCACAGCAGCTCCTGGGTCCACATTTCAAGCTGCCTGGGTCAGGGCGTTGTAGCCTGTCATGTGAGGGCATTGGGCTGACAGAAGAGCCTTAGGCTGGGGAAGCGCACTGGCTTGTGGCCCTACCTGAAACTTCCAAGCAGGTTTAATCTTATTGGTTAAAGATGTCCACTTGGGGGGACTGAATGTAGAGAATGAAAATTTGCTGCGTGCCGTGGCATTATTAACACATGCAATTGTTTTTATGTATAATTCAATACTCCCAACAACTGTGTGAGATGAGTAAGAAGCTGCTCACTTAATAGATGAGGAAACTGAGGCTGAGACAGCACAGGTGACTGGCCAAAGGGTTCGCAGTAAGCAACTAGAGGAGGCCAGATTCAAGCCCAGGTGTGTGTCTGGTGCCAGGACCCAGGCCCTCCGCACCCTCAGTGTTCACCCATCCGCCAGGCACATGGAGATTCTGGATGTCTGATGGGAGTAAAGTGAGTGACCGAGAGTCCAGTATGATGAGGTTGCTCAGGTCGCTGTGAGATCACTGAGAAGGGCCATTGCCCGGCTCAGACAAGTAGGATGGCTTCTTGGAGCAGGTCACTGTGAGGGTGACATAGCTGACAAGGAGCAGATTTTAGAGAGCTGCTGTGGGGAGGTGTTGAGGGCAGCCCTTTGGGGACCACAAACAGCACCGTGTGGCTAGAATAAGGCCCAGGCTGTGCTGCAGGGTGGAGCTGTCAGCAGCAGTCACAGCCCCATGAAGATGGTGGGATTTTAAGCAGGAGATGGACATAAAGGAATGTGCCACGTAGATGGCTCCACAGCCTGGAAGCAGAGTGTAGGGCAAATAAGGGGCCCTGTCCAGGAAAGATCCCACCTGTACATTTCCTTTGCAAATTTGAGTTCCAAGCTTAACCAAATATGGTAACCCTATAGCTTAGGACCTACCTGGTCAACAGAACGTAGCAAGAGCTCCGGGAGGTGCTCAAGGCTCACACCACAGGATGTGGAGTCAGACAAACCCAAACTCAAGCTCTGGCTTTCCCATTTGCTAGCTGTGCAGTTTCGAACAAAATTCAATTCTGCATCGTAAAGTAGGGATGGTGCCGGGATGG